GAGATGCTGGTTCTCAGAATTTTGTGATCATCTCTTCAGTCTTTCTGATTGCTTTTTTATCCCACCTCTTCCCTATTCCATTTTAGTGAATTTTTAAAATTGGTTTACAAAGTTCATATACATTGAGTTTCACACTATTATTCATTCACATTTTGTTTTATACAATCATTCTCATGCATTGTTTTGTATAATTAATCACCATTGGACCTTGCCCATCATTATCCTGTCTTTTTGCCTGAATGCTACCCATTTCTTTTCCCCTCCTTTCCTACCAAACTGTGCAACCCTGTGGTTTTGCCCCTACTCATCCTTAGCCCTCACTCTCTTGAGTTCTCATACATGTCTTCCTGGTTATCCTTCTATTTTTAAAATAATGGGCTTATACAGCATTTGTTCTTATGAGACTGTGTGAGTTCACTCAGCGTAATGCTCTTAGTCTCTCCCAAGTTACATAGTATTTTTCAGAAATCGTTCATTCTGAGTGTTGCATAGTATTCCATTGAGTAAATATACCACAATTTCTCAATCCATTTAGTTGTGGTTGAATATTTGGGCTATTTCCATGTTTGTGTTAGGGTAAATAATGCTGCTGTGAAAATTGGTGTACAAATCTCCATTTGTGTCTCAGTTCTCATTTCCTTGGAGTATATTCCTATTAGTGGAATAGATGGGTCATATGGAGTTTCTATGTTCAACTTTTTGAGGAGACATCAAACTGTCTTCCAGAGTGGTTGCATCATTTTACAATCCCACCAATATTGTATGAGAGTTCCCACCTCTTCACATCCTCTCCAATATTTATTGTTTGCTGCCCTATTAAACTTTGTCACTGCTACTGGGGTGAGATTATATCTCACTGTGGTTTTGCTTTAAAAAACAAAAAGGATAATGAAAATACAACATAACAAAACCTCTGCAATACAGCTAAGGCAGTCATAGCAGTAGGCAAGCACATAAAATATGAAGAAAGAAGCAAAGTTAATGATCTAACTCTACACCTTCATCAAATAGAAAGACAACAGCAATCTAACCCCACAGTCTCTAGAATAAAGGAAAATATAAAAATAAGAGCAGAAAATAACAAAATATAAAAACAACTGAAACCATCAACAAAACCAGGATTTGGTATTTTTAAAGGGTCAATAATATTGGCAAATTATTGGCAAACTTAATAAAAGAAAAAAGGAGAATACACTAGTAGATTAATTGATGATAGAGGAAATTAAATTTATATTATCATAATATTATGAAAAGCTATACTCTGATAAATTTGAAAACTTGCAGAAAATGGGCAAATTCCTTGAAACTTATGTCCTACCCAGATTGGCACGGTCAGATATAGAACACTTGAACAAATACATCACTAAAGAATAAATTGAGCAGGTCATAAAAAGACTCCTCACACACACAAAAAGTCTTGGACAGATGGCTTTGTGTCTGAATTCTACCAAACATTCAGAGAAGATTTATCTCCAATTCTACTTAAATTCTTTTTAAAAAATAGAAAAAGAAGGAGCATTCCCAGAGACATCCTATGAAGCAAGCATAACCCTAATACCTAAATCAGGCAAAGATATTACCAAGAAAGAAAACTACAGACCAATAGATCTCATGAATATAGATGCAAATATCCTTAACAAAATCCTAGCCAATAGAATCCAAAAGCACAGTAGAAAAAAACAAAATAACAAAACCAAGTCATCATTATGCAAGGATAGTTCAACTTAAGAAAAACAATCAGTGTAATTTGCCATATTAACAAAGTAAATAACAAGAACTATATGATCTTATCAATTGATGCAGAAAAAGCATTTGATAAAATCCAACACTTTTTCCTGATTAAGACACAAGAAAAATTGGAATAGAAGGGAATTTCTTCAACATAGTGAAAAGTACATATGCAAAACCAAGAGTCAAATCATTCTCAATAAAGACTAAAAGCATTCTCCTTGTTAAGAGGGACCTGAAAAGGATGCCCACTATCACCACTTCTATTCAATATTGTATTAGAAATACTTCCTAGGGCAATACAATAAGCGAAAGAAGTAAAAGACATCCGGACTGGCAAAAAGATGGTTAAACTTTCTGTACATGCAGATGAGATGATAATGTACATAGAAAATCCCAAGGACTCAACAACAACAAAACTGCTAGAACTAGTTTATTAGTTTAGTAGGGTTGCAAGATCAATAGGAAATAAATCAGTGGGATTCTTTTACTGTAACAAAGAAGACACAGAGAAGGAAACTAAGAAAGCAATACCATTTACAATATTGTTATGTGCCAACGAGTCAACTGCGACACATAGAAACCCCATACACAACAGCCCTAAACCCTGCTCTAACCTGTGCCAATATTATTGTCTCTGACACAACTATCCCATTACCCAAGTCACTGAATCAATCCATCTCATTAAGGGTCTTCCTCTCCTGCAATGTCCCTCCACCCTCCCAAGCATGATGTCCCTCTCCAAGGTCTGGTCCCTCCTTGCAACATGTCCAAAATATGTCAGACGGAGTTTCAGAATCCTTGCCTCCAAGGAGCAGCCTGACTTCACCCTCTCCAGGACAAACTTGTTAGTTCTCTTAGCAATCCGTGGTATATTCAAGACTCTTCTCCAATACCACAGCTCAAAGACATGAATTCTCCTTCTGTCATCCCTAGTCATTGTCCAGATTTCTTATGCATAGTAAGTGATAATTGCAAAGACTATGGCCTGTATCAGGTACAACTTAATCTCCAGACTGACATCATTAGTCTTCAGTACTCTGGAGAGGTCTCTGATAGCAGACTTTCCCAATGCAATTAATCTTTTAATTTCCTAGATGCTAGTGCCAAGAATGTTGATTGTGGAGCCAAGCAAACTAAAGCTGTTTACTATCTCAATCTCTTCACCATCTATTACAATGTTGCCAATTGCCCAAGTGATGAGAATCTTTGCTTTCTTGATATCGAATGTCAATCCATATTGAAGGCTGAAGTCCTCGACCTTTTACAGCAAGTGCTTGAGATCCTCCTCAATTTTAGCAAGTAGGGTTGTGTCATCTGCATAACACAAATTGTTGATTAGTTTTTCTCTAATCCTGATGTCACATTTCACCTTATAGAGCTCAGCCTCCTGGATAATCTGTTCTGCACAAAGATTGGAAAGGTATGGAGATAGGACACATCCCTGGCATACACCCTTCCCAATTTTGAGCCATGCAGTATTCCCTTGCTCTGTTGTGATAACTGCCTGCTGGTCCAAGTATAGGTTTCTCATAACCATGATCAAGTGTTCTGGGATTCCCATTCTTCTCAGAGTTAGCCACAGTTTGTTGTGGTCCACACAGTCAAACACCTTTGCATAGTCAATGAAACACAAATGGACATTTCTCTGGTAGTCTCTGCTTTCAGTCAAGATCCATCTGACATTAGCTATAATATCCCTAGTGCCACAGCCTCTTCTAAACCCAGACTGTACTTCAGGCAGTTCTCTGTTGATGTTCTGTTCCAGTCATTTTTGGATAATCTTCAGCAGAATCTTGGTTGCATGTGATATTAATTATATTGTTTGATAATTTCCTCACTCTGTCAGATCACCTTTCTTTGTAATGGGAACAAATATAGATCTCTTCCAGTCAGTTGGCCAGGTGGTTGCCCTCCAGATTTCTTGGTACAACTTGGTGAGCACATCGAGGGAAGCATCTGTTTGTTGAAATATATCAGTTGGTATACCGTTAATTCAGATAGATAACATCTGTACAAAGAACCACTGGAGAAGCTCAATATTAGCTGTGAAAATTAGGCCAGGTGCTGATTGAGGAACAGAACACCAACTACTCATATGCAAGTTCAAGCTGAAGATAAGGAAAATTAAATCAAATCCGTGGAAACCAAAATGTGACCTTGAGTCTATCCCCCCTGAATTTCAAAACCATCTCAGCAACAGGTTTGAGGCTTTAAACACTAATAAGTAAAGACAATATGAGCTGTGGGAGGATATTAAGAATATGATCCAGGAAGAATGCAAAAGATCATTGCAAAGAGAGGAGGAAGAAAAGACCAAAATGAATGTCAGAGGAGACTTTGAGTATTGCATTAGAGTGCTGAGAAGCCAAAGCAAAGGAAAGAAACCAAGATATTAAGGATATGAACAAAAGATTTCAAAGGGCAGCACTGGAAGATGATGTAAAATATTATAATGAAATGTACGAACAGCTGGAGTCAGAAAATCAAAGGGGTTGAACTTGCTCAGCATTTCTTAAGCTCAAGGAAATGAAGAACAAACTCAAGCCTCAAGTTTCACTACTTAAGGATGCTTTGGGCAGGATATTAAATGATCCAGGAAGCAATAAAAGAAGATAGAAAGAGTATACAGAGTCATTGTACCAAAAGGAATTGGTGGACACCGAAAAATTTCATGAAACAACCTATGAGCAAGAGCCTGTGGTGATGAAGGAAGAAGTTCAAGCTGCTCTGAAAGAATTGGCAAAAAAACCAGGCCCCAGTAACTGACAGTATACCATTTACAATAGCCAACCACAAATTGAGATACTTGGGAGTGAACCTAACTTGTCCAGCTGGGATGAGAATAGTAGGCCTGTAGGGTATCAGGGCAAAGATATATCAAGTATTAGGAAAAGAAGGCTACCTTACGAGCTGCTGGGACAAAGATCAAAGGAATGTATTGGTTGGTGGTAGGAAATCGATTATTAACCAGCTGGTCCAAAGAGGAAGCTGTGACTAATTTGACAGTGGATCCTCTGACACCCTCTCTGGGCGTACCAGCTAGGGTTATGACTTTCTGGACCCAAGCCATCTCTTCTTTTCCCTCACCCCACCTCTCCTCATTTTTTCTTCTCTCTCTGTTCCCCTGTCGCCCTCTGATCTTCCCCTGACCCCTCTCCTCTCTCTGTGTTCATATTTATCCATGTCTGCCTCTTTCATCCTTCCCTCTACTTTCTAGCCCCTCTGGCATCTATATGCCCCATTCATGTTACTTCTCCTTGGTCTGCAGGATGTCACTGCTGAGCACGTTATGGTTTGGATCTGGACCAGAGTCAGCCCCCCCTTGGCTGCTTTTGCTGCTATTTGGTATCTCCTTGGTCCTAGTAAAAGTCTTCACTTGGACTTATGCCTTCTATGACAAGTGCAGCCGCCTCCAGTGTTTCCCCAATCCCCCAATGTGGAACTGGCTTTCGGGTCACATGGGCTTGGTGAGTATAACAGCAGGATGCATATAAGGTGTCAGAATCATGACAATATGGAGCAAGGGGCTAAGCACGATGGGTGGGTGTGGGACAGCAGAGAAGTGGGGGAAGCCAAAAGGAGCTTCTTCATTCTCTCTCACCCTCCTTACATCCACTCTTTTCTTATCTGTACCCTTCATGCCCAGGTTCAAGCCCTTTCTCTCATTCTTATCCTTTCTCTCAGGTCTGCTGTGGGTCATTTCTCTATCCAGATTTCCCCTATTAGTGCACTCCTGGCTTCCCTGGAGCAACCAGAGCAGACTGAACAGAGTCAGACTTCCTGAACTTCTCATTGTCTCATGCTTAATGGAACAGCAGCTTGGGGAAGATTTCCCTTTGTTCTTTTGTTTAAGTCCTTAGAGTAGGAACTGACTTATAGCTGACCCACCAATGGGTTTTCAAAGGTTGTGAATCTCACTAGCGATTTCCCATCTTTCTCCCATACTGCAGCTGATGGATTTGAACCAAGTACCCTTGAGTTGGCAGTGCAACTCCTTACCACTAAGCCACCGGAGCTTGCTTCCTGCAATTCTATTATTCGGGAAAACAAAGCTCACTAGAATGGGATCCCTCGAGGCCTTGTGGATGCCATATGTTACCTGCATAGAATCCACAATCCTGTTCCACCACCCTAACCTCCTTCTCCCTGACAACTTGATCTGAGAGGTTTGGTCTGGTCACTAACACTCTTCTCCTTTGGCCTCTCTTGCTGTATAAGTGATCTATTTAGTCACTCTCCCTTTGTGTTTCATCAAGCACCTTGAATCATCAATTCAGGTTCATTGGGAAGCTATAAGGTCACCAGATGGCTTATGTTTACTTTGTTTGAATAGCCTGGGGGTTGACACAGAAAGGGTGTCCCCAGAACCCAGGAAGATGTCTTGGGTAGACAAACATGAGCAGAATTTGCCTTGAGGACTCAAGGAGATGCCTAAGGGGTCAGACTTGGATGGATGAGGTGTGACAGGACGAAAAATAATATACTAGGGTTGGTTGTGACCAAGGCTTCCTTACGACTCATAGGATACATTCTGGGATTTCAGGTTCAGATTGCCAGGTTATCTCAAGGATTTGTGAGATGTTTCACTAGGAACTTCCTCCTCTCAATCCCAGGATACCTAGCTCCTGTCTACCCTTGGCACCATGAAAAGACACATCTATAGAGGTTCAGGGACAAGATGTTCCAGATATACCTATGACCAAGCTAATACATAGAAAGTGCTCCCCCAAGGGGGTTGTGAGATAGCCAAAGTTCATCCTAGCTTCTGGGGGATGTGGGAGACTGCAAGGGCCCAGGTCTGAAAATTTTTCCAGGTGGAGGAGCCAAAAAAAGGCCTTGATGTGGACTTCCAGGGCCCAGGGAGGATGTATGAATGAGTGCCCATGTTACAGTACTGATAGCACAACACTGCCTGCAGACTTTCCCGTGGAGACCTCTCCCTCTGATTGTGCTCTGTGCTGCAGCCATATCCAGGGTGAGGAAATCCACCACCTCAAGTCAAGTTCTATGAGCATAGAATCTGTTTTCTCCCTCCTTTATCAGATATGCTTTGACTTGGAGCCTATCTCCAGGATCCTGTCAACTCCAGGGGAACTCTTGTTCCCTTGGACTAAGCTGGAAGCAGGGAGTCACTCCTTCAAGGCAGAATCCTAACTAATGTCCATAGCAGAGAAGACGAGGAGGGTGGATGTTTGTGGCTCTTTCTGGAGAAGTAACCACTTATGACTGATTATTTTGCAGATCAGTCTCAATGAACAGGGATTGCTGAACATAACTAAGCTGGTAGCCACCTATCCTCAGGGCTATCAGAGCTGGCAAGGACCTTTCAGCCCCGCCATCTCTCTGTGCCATCCTGACTTCATCAAGCCGGTTGTCAATGCTTCAGGTACGCATACAGAGCTTATGGTAGTGGGAACCATGGCAGTACCTAAGAGTTATTATCTATTTTCTCTGCAGCTTCTAGGTGGCCCCTACATGACCTAAATCCGTCTTCTCTTCCTCTCGGCCTGCTTTCTTTCTCTTTTATGCATTCACGAGCCCCAACTCACATCAACTCTGCTATTCTTTATTCAAGTTCTAGGGCTAGAAGAACTTCTAATTGTGGTTAAAGTATCTGGACAGAGACACCACCAACTCAAGTGCTCAAGAGGGAGAGGTGGGCTGGGAGAGGAGAAGGAAGGCTTGTATTGGGGCATGCTAGAAGGCTTCTTTAAAGGATTCTCAACACTGGGTCAATTGGCAGCACTATTACAGATGGAGAAGAGACTGAGGTTGCTAACAACTACAGCTTTATTGGCTCCACAATCAACAGTCTTGGCACCAGCAGTCACAAAATCAAAAGATGACTTGCATTGGGAAAATCTGCTGTTAGGGACCTCTGGGATGGGTCAGAGAGCTGGACAATAAATAAGGATGACAGAAGAGTCAGTTTCTTTGAGTTGTGGTGCTGAAGAAGAGTACTGAATATTCCAGGGATTGCTTAAAGAACAAATAGGTATGATCCTGGAAAGAGTGCATCCGGAGTGTTCGTTGGAGGCAAAGATAATGAAGCTTTGTCTTTCATACTTTGAACATGTAGCCAGATGAGGCTATTCCTTGAGAAAGGATAGCATGCTTGGAAAGATGGAGGGTCAGCAAAGCAGAGGTCGCTGTTGTTGTTGAATGTCATTGAGTTGAGCACGACTCAATGTGACCCTATGAACAAAAGACCTGAAGACTTATTGTCATTCCTCAAAGTTCATAGAGTTTCCAGAGGCATGTTGCTTAGGAAGCAGATGCTACTCCTGCTTCCAAAGTGAAGGAGAGGATGACCCCAAATAGAGAGTTTGACACAATGATTTCAGCAATGGGCCCTGGTGTCTCAGAGATGGTGAGGAAGATACAGGATAGGACAGGATTCAGGTTAGCTGTTCATAGGGTTGTACTTGACTCACAATGAGCCGTACTCAATTTGACGGCACCTAACAACATGTTAGTGTGCGTTTGGGCCATGTAAGGAGTTTCACCTCCAATAATATGCAATAAAAAATATACTATTCCTGATATGGATATATCATTGTGAGGTATGTATGTTGTTTTCATATTAACACATATTGTTCTCATGTTAGCTGTTTGATATGGAAGTCAAGAGATTCCAGAGGAGTTTGGGCGATGCTCTTTTTCTATGTGATGAATACACTTCTTAGAATGTTGGTTGTGCTTGCTGTTTCACAAACACTGAGTGTAGCGGAGACATGTTCAGGTTCACTGGGATGCATTGTGTCATATGAGGTTGTATCTAGCTCACTGGGACATTTTTGGGCTCTGTTTTTCTGCTCCAGTCTGTTCAGATTCCTTTTGTCTCTTCCTTGCTTCCTCTGTCCTTGGTCCTGTTATTACTACACTTGGATTGGACACAGCTCTAAATAATTTTATGGAAGTCCACTCTCCCACACTCCCAACCAAAGTTACTTATTTATCTCGTTCCATGATTCCTGATGTCACTCATTTATGTCAGTTGCCGTTTCAATGAAGATCACGTTAGTGTCCAAATTGCTGAAGCCCTGGCTGGGTGAGTAATTGTGGGCAAAGGAGGCTGGGGACAGTCTTGGGATCCAGAGGAAGATGTTAGCCTTTCCCACTGCCTGCGGCTATCCCTACTAGGAGAAGGGCTTCTGCTGAGTGAAGGTGACAAGTGGAAATACCACCGCCACATGCTGACACCTGCCTTTCACTTCAATATCCTGAAACCCTACGTGCAGATCTTCAGTAAGAGCACGGATATCCTGCACGTGAGTCCTAAAAGGCTGATGGGGAGGGACCACAGATAGATCCAGCTTGGAGTTTTGGTTCTGCTAGTTGGTTTGCCCTTCCTCTTTAAGTCTTAGTTTTCTCATCTGCAAACTCTTTGTAATGATCTCCACTTTGAAGGATGTCCAAAATGATATCATTTCCTTGGCACATAGTCCATGCGCAGAATGTGTTCTCTACTCTGAGACCTTGAAATCTTGATGAAAAAGCATATAGTAGTGATTGCTGAGTAACAAACCACTTTGAAATTCATTCCCTAAAATAATTAACACTGGCACAACCACTCTGGATGGCAATTTAGTGCTTCCTCAAAGAGCTGAACATGAAAACTCCATATAACTCAGCTATTTCACTGTAAAGAATATACCCAAAAGAATTTAGAACTGAGACATAAATGAAGATTTGTATGCCAATGTTTTAGCAATATTACTCACAATCGCAAGAAAAAAGAAAACAGCCCAAATATTCAACAACAAATGAATGGGTTGAAAAATTGTAGTACATTCAAATGATTGAATACTATGCAATTCTCAAGAGCAATGATTTTAAAATATTACGTTATATTAGTGACACTGGACAACATTTTGCTGAGTTAACTAACGCAGTCTCATAAGAACAAATACTGCATACGGTCATTATTGTAAAATTAGAAAGATAATTAGTAAAATATGTAGGAAGGTCAAAGAGTAGAAGAGTATTGAGGGTACAGAATTTGGTGGGTGGAGAGAGAAGGATGAAGGAAATGGAAAATATTCAATGGTGGCCTGAATAGATAGGGTACTGGTGGGAATTGGGGGGGGGGAATTAATCACTTTTGGCTGATTAATTTTATCAAACATAATATATGGCAATGATTGTATAATACACAATGTGAATGAAGGAAAGTGTGAAATATAATGTGCACAATCTGTATGGTAAACAATATAAAATACAAACTATAAAGTGAATAAAAAAAAAGAATTAACACTTCCTGTTGTATATGAGTCTACTGGTAAGCTGGGCCATCCTGCTGGTCTTGGCTTGGCTGATTCATGCACCCATTCTCACGTGTGTATCCACACTGGGCTCTTTTCTCATGTTTGGAGATTGACTTGCTACTAGGATGTCTTCCACTGGGATGTCTGGTCTCTTCCATATGAATTCTCATCATTTAATCAGCAACTCAATCTTATTCACATGGTGAAAACATAGTTCTAAGAGAGTGGGAGTAAGTTAAAATACCTCTTGAAAACCAGGTTCAAAATGCCATTGTTTTCACCAGGTTATATTGGCTTTAGCAAGTTCCAAGGCCATTCCAGAATCAGGGGGGTAGTTAGGCTCCCTTTCCTAATGTAAGTTGATGTAAAGTCACATTGTGAAGGGTGTGACTATAGGGAAGAGAGAGGTAAAGAATAAATAATGAGTGTTTGAGTTTTGTAAGTTTGACATGTGTTAAATGTTTCTGAGTTGGCTATGAATCACAGTGACCCTATAAGCAACACATAGCCCTCCTGCACTAACATCATGATCTCCACCATGATTAAACTGACTGTTTTAATCACTGTGTTAATCCTTCTCATTGAGGATTTTCCTCTTTTTTCACTGACCCTTTCAAGAATGATCTTCTCTCCCCAAGGCCTGGCCTCTCCTGACAATATGCCCAAAGTATGTGAGATAAAGTTTCACACGTTTATCAGTTCGCTTGTTACTATTTCATGGATTCTGCTGGAATGCATGAGTCTCTTGGATCAGAGAAAAAAGGACTTTATTATTCTTGGCACCTCAACTATCATGTGCTTCATGTTGGTTTACATTATTTCCCCAATGCCCCCAAATTCTAACGGAGTAGCATATGGATGTTTTCTGTTGTGATACTGAGAAGGAACATTGGGCTTGGGAATCTGCACCTGTTACAGAAAGGAGGATCAAATCTGATTTCTTTTTAATTATTTTTTTTCTTCCCCTAGGTTGCTTGATTAAAACAGGTCTTAGAAATAACCCCAAATAAAGAGTGTAAAGTCATTACATTCGCAATAAATTCAGGAAGACTGTATAAGGATGTTAAGGGCCCATTGAAAATGTCTTTCTTAATATAAGGGATATTTGGAAAAAAATGTTAGTTTGCTTACAAAGTTCATAGCCGTTGTGTTTCACATGATTCTTCATTCATACTGCATTTCAAACAATAATTCTCATGCACTATGGGCATTGTCTATCATTGACAAGGGGCATTTTAAAAAATATATCTAGAACAGGGATGATGATGAAGATGCTGAAAGCTACAGTTTAATGATCACTCAGTATAGAGCAGTAGTTTGGCAAGATAGATAGATAGATAGATAGATAGATAGATAGATAGATAGATAGATAGATAGATAATATAGA